TTTGAATGAAGGTAATGAACCTACTTTCTGCAACAGCATTAGACAGGATGTGATTGATATCACATTTTCCAATAGAAGTATATGCAATGCAGTCAGTGATTGGAGAGTTTCAGATGAGCCATCCCTTTCGGACCACAGATATATTACTTTTGAGGTAATGTCTAGTGAAGCTGCTAGGGAGGGTTTTAGAAACCCGAGAAACACTGACTGGATTGGTTATAAATGTAGCTTGATTGAGTATTTAAATGGTTTAAATTGGAACATTTCAACACGGACTGAAGCTGAGTGTCTTTCTAGAAATTTGAATGAAGCCATTTTGCATGCCTATACAGATAACTGTAAGGTCAGTAAGCCATGTAAACATGGTAAATGTAAATGGTATAATTCAGAGTTGGATAAGATGAGAAAGGCTGTAAGAAGAAAGTGGAATCAAAGTAAAAAGCTAGTAAGACAAGGTTTTAGCATAGCTGAAGCTTCATTGCGATCTGGCTATAAGGAATCACTAACCAGGTACAGTAGTTCTATTAAGGAAGCAGCACTTGCTTCGTGGAAAAATAAATGTGAAGAAATTGAACGGTTTGAGGACTGCGCAAGGATTCACAAATTAATGGCGAAGAGAAATGCAGATACAACAATCGGTGCACTCAAGAAGCAGGACGGGACTTTTACTCATAGCAGTAGTGAAAGTCTTCAGCTACTTTTGAGTGCTCATTTTCCTGGATCAACAATAGTTGATGACTCAATGGACTATAGTGAGCTGGGTACTTTTTTGCCTGGTGATGGATTATTGGCAGACAAAGTCATTACTGAGGAGAAAGTTACTTGGGCAGTCAATTCTCTGAAGCCTTTTAAGTCAGCAGGAGAGGATGGTATCTTTCCTGTGCTCTTACAAAGAGGCTCAGGTCAGTTGATGCCTTATCTACTCAGTCTATTTAGGTACAGTTTGGATACAGGGTACATTCCAAAATCATGGAGAAGTGTTAAAGTTGTTTTTATTCCAAAACCAGGTAAAGACACTTACGCTGAAGCTAAGTCATTTAGACCTATCAGTCTGATGTCTTTCCTATTAAAGGTATTGGAAAAATTAGTTGATCGATATATAAGGGATGAAATTCTGTCAAATAGGCCTTTGTCTAAGTATCAGTTTGCTTATCAACCTGGTAAATCGACAGATGCTGCCTTACATAGTATTGTATCTAGAATCGAAAAGGGTTTCTTCGACAAGGATTTTATGGTGGGAGGCCTTATTGACATTGAGGGTGCTTTCGACAACACTGGCTTCGATGTTATCACAAATGCTCTACACCGAAGAGGAGTTCCACAAAGTATAGTACAGTGGATCAGCAATATGCTAAGATCGCGAATCGTTCAAGCATCATTGAACGGGGAAATCGTTTTCATCATAGTGAAACGTGGTACACCACAGGGCGGCAACTTGTCTTGCCTGTTGTGGTCATTGGTTATTGATGATTTATTGGAAGATCTAAATGGCTCAGGGGGCATCTTTGCCCAAGGTTATGCTGATGATATTTTTATTTTAGTAAAAGGTAAATTTACTAACACAGTGTTAGATGTTTTTCAAAGGTCTTTAAACATTGTAGAAGGTTTTTGTGCTAAAGTTGGTTTATCAGTAAATCCAGCCAAAACAATTGTAATTCCTTTCAGTACGAAGCATAAATTAGGTGAGCTACGTCCTCCAGTTATGTATGGTCAAAGGATAGAATTCAGTTATGAAGCAAAGTATCTTGGTGTCTACCTAGACAGCAAATTAAACTGGAATTTGCATGTAGATTTCGTTGTAAGTAAGGTGATTAAGTCCTTTTGGGCTTGTAGATCAATTGTTGGTAAAAACTGGGGATTAAAACCCAATATGATGTATTGGCTGTATGAGCAAGTTATTATACCAAGAATTATGTATGGATGTGTTGTTTGGTGGCATAAAATGAAACAAGTTTTTGCCTCTCAGAAAATTGAGAAACTGCAAAGAATAGCAGAATTGTCAATTTGCGGTGCTTGGAAAACTACTCCGAAACTGGCTTTGGATAGATTCCTTGAGCTTCCCCCACTTCGAGTCAGAATCGAAGCTACAGCTCAAACAAGCGCATCCAAATTGAAGGTTAATAAATTGTGGGTTAATGACTGGATCTCAACAGGTCACATGGAATTAAATCGGTTTCTAAGAAGTGTAAGTTTATTCACCTTTGAATCAGATCATTTAGTGTCAAAATACGTTTTTGGCAAACCTTTTAAGGTAGTTGAATCAGAAGATAATGCTGCTGAATCTTGTGATTTGGTGGATAGTAATTGTATGTCTGTATACACTGATGCATCAAAGTCAGAAAGTGGTGTTGGCATCGGTCTGTTCAGCAATGAGCTGAGTTTGAATTCATCCTACAAACTGCAAGATCATGCTTCTGTCTTTCAGGCAGAAGTTCAAGCTATTTGTGTGGGTGCTAATTACTGTTTGGATATGGATTTGAAAGGCTGTAGAATTTGCTTTCTTTCAGATTGTCGATCAGCTTTGACGGCTTTAAACAATTGTGTTGTGAAGTCTTTAACAGTTCTTGATTGTATTTCTTGTTTAACAGCATTGGGGCAAGAAAATGAAGTCATCCTAAAATGGATACCTGGACACAGTGGTATTGAAGGTAATGAAATAGCTGATCAATTAGCTAAAGAAGCAGTACACAAGGAAGATTATGACAAGTCGACGTACTATGGGTTTGGCTTGTTGAAGTCAAACATACGAGAATGGATGGAGAGACAGCATTTTCGTATCTGGAATTTAGAGGAAGGAGCCATGACAGCCAAAAGACTTCTTGGTCCTAAAAATAAGAACAAAATATCTGATGCTCTCAGACTACCAAGGAAAGATCTTAGCATCTTAATTGGTGCTTTGACAGGACACATGAGTATCAATAGTTTTCTTTTTAAATTGAATTTGTCTAACAGTAAAATTTGCAGGTTTTGTAAGGTAAATGAGGAAACAATCACTCATATTCTTTGTAAATGCAGAGCATTACGAGTACAACGTGTCAAGCATTTTGATGAGGACTACTTGAATGATGAGGATATAAATAAGCAGCATTATCAGGACATCATTGGCTTCATTAAGGACATCGGAATTCTAACATAGGGGACTTGGGATGGTACAACAGATCATCGATCGCAGTGCCGCTTTTGCTATTAGCAAAACCCTACATTACATTCTATTCTATGCTGTGCGAAGCACAGCTGATCGAGGAAGACTTTCTACGGTTAAATTCTAGTTTACAAACTTATGCTGTGCGAAGCACAGCTGATCGATGAAGACTTTCTACGGTTAAATTCTAGTTTACAAACTTATGCTGTGCGAAGCACAGCTGATCGATGAAGACTTTCTACGGTTAAATTCTAGTTTACAAACTTATGCTGTGTTAAGCACAGCTGATCGATGAAGACTTTCTTTGGTTAAATTCTAGTTTACAAACTTATGCTGTGCGAAGCACAGCTGATCGATGAAGACTTCTATGGTATGAGTCTAGTTTACAAACTTATGCTGTGCGAAGCACAGCTGATCGAGGAAGACTTTCTACGGTTAAATTCTAGTTTACAAACTTATGCTGTGCGAAGCACAACTGATCGATGGAGACTTTCAATGGTTTTATTCTAGTTTACAAACTTATGATGATCGATGGATACTTTAAATAATTTTTTAAAACTAAAAAGTAGAATATAAATACTTTATAAAAAAAACTTTTTAAAAAACCACGTTTTTTCCCGTGGACTAAAAAGTAGAAAATAACTTTTTTAATTGGGTTCAAAGGATATTGGTTTGAAAATTTGAGATTGATATTAAAGTTTTATACTAAAGTCATGACCATACATGAATTGCAAATTTGTTCACTTCGACCATATTGTATAGTTCTACATCTTAAAACGTGGGCGCATTTATATAAAATTTAAGCTTTCCTAATATACAATATTAATGAATGCGCCCACGTTTTAAGATGTAGAACTATACAATATGGTCGAAGTGAACAAATTTGCAATTCATGTATGGTCATGACTTTAGTATAAAACTTTAATATCAATCTCAAATTTTCAAACCAATATCCTTTGAACCCAATTAAAAAAGTTATTTTCTACTTTTTAGTCCACGGGAAAAAACGTGGTTTTTTAAAAAGTTTTTTTTATAAAGTATTTATTTAAACACATCTAGGTATTATAAATGATAAAGAATGATATATAGATATAAAATCGATATAATTTTTTTAAAAATAGCCTACTATGATTGAAACCAAAAATGCTTTGAATTGCATTTTAAAACATATCTAGGTATTATAAATGATAAAGAATGCTAATATAGATATAAGATCGATATGATTTTTTTAAAAATAGCCTACTATGATCAAAATCAAAAATGCTTTAAATTGCATTTTTAAACACATCTAGTTTTTATAAATGATAAAGATTGCTAATATAGATATAAAATCGATATAATTTTTTTAAAAAAAGCCTCCTATGATCAAAACCCAAAAATGCTTTAAATTGCATTTTAAAATATATCTAGGTATTATAAATGATAAAGAATGCTTATATAGATATAAAATCGATATAATTTTTTTAAAAATAGCCTCCTATGATCAAAACCCAAAAATGCTTTGAATTGCATTTTAAAACATATCTAGGTATTATAAATGATAAAGAATGCTATAAAGATATAAAATCGATATAATTTTTTTAAAAAAAGCCTACTATGATCAAAACCAAAAATGCTTTAAATTGCTTTTTAAACACATCTAGGTATTATAAATGATAAAGAATGCTTATATAAATATAAAATCGATATAATTTTTTTAAAAATAGCCTCCTATGATCAAAACCCAAAAATGCTTTAAATTGCATTTTAAAACATATCTAGGTATTATAAATGATAAAGAATGCTAATATAGCAACCAAATTGGCAATGTGAAAGCTATGCAGGTGCTTCAGCAAATAAAGTTAGAAAAAATGTCAGTATGCTTCAATATAAAGTAGCACTTACAGCTATTCGAGAGGATTTCAATCCAATTATTGGTGCAGGCAAGATCACACAACAATGGTTGGTTGATAGTTATTTGCAAGTAGAAGCAAACAACCTTAATTACATTCGACAAAACCAAAAGCGTTTACGAGCTGAATGCTACCAAGGACTCTCAGACCATATAAACAATTTAGCACAAAATCAAAATGTTGCAGCTGGAGTGTCAGTTATTCTTCCTTCAAGTTTTGAAGGATCTCCCCGTAACATGCGTGAACGGTGTTGTGATGCTATGTCAATATTTTCTAAATATGGTCCTCCTGACCTTTTTATCACTTTTACAGCTAATCCTTGCTGGCGTGAAATCACAGAAAACTTGAAACCTGGAGAAAAATCTTCTGATCGGCCTGATTTGATTGCGCGAGTTTTCAAGATTAAGCTTGATGCATTACTAAATGATGTATTGAAACATGGAATTTTTGGAAAAGTCATTGCATATGTCTATACAATTGAATTTCAGAAAAGAGGTTTACCTCATAGCCACATTTTAGCTACATTAACTGCTCAAGACAAATTTACCACAATTCAACGAGTAGATCAATTTATATCAGCAGAAATTCCATCAAATGAGAGACCGAAGCTACGAGAAATAGTTTTAAAATGTATGACGCACGGTCCATGCGGATCTCAATATCCAAATTCACCGTGCATGAAAGACGGTCAATGCTCAAAACAATTTCCAAAGGCTTTCAATGAAAAAACTATTCTTAATGTAGATGGATACCCATTATATCGACGTCGCACCAATGAACATGCTATTATTAGAGGCAAACAAGTAGACAGCCGAAATATAGTGCCATACAATCCCTATTTAACATTAAAATATAATGCGCATATTAACGTAGAGGTGGCTACATCAATAAGATTTGTTAAATATATTTATAAATATGTTTTTAAGGGTTTCGATTGTGCTACTCTTACCATAGGAACAAATGATCAGCCTCAATTATGTATGAATGAAATTACAAACTTTATTGATTGCCGTTATGTAAGCGCTCCAGAGGCAATGTGGCGTTTACGAGAATACAAGATGCATGATCGTTCACATTCTGTAATGAGACTACCAGTTCATCTCCCCAATCAACAAAGAATCACCTTCGAAGAAGGTCATGAAGAAGAAGCTCTTTTAGCAGCTCAAACAAATAAAACAAAACTAGAGTGTTGGTTTGATTTGAATGCTAACGATCTTGATGCCCGACAATATCTGTACACTGACATTCCATACAATTACGTTTTTGTACGTGGTCAATGGCAAAAACGAAAAAAAGGAGGAGAAAAAATTGTTGCTCGCATGTACACAGTTAGTGTCAAAGATCAAGAAAGATTCTATTTACGAATGCTGCTTCTTCATATCCCGGGTGCAACGAGCTTTGAATTTTTACGTACAGTAGATAATGTTGTTTATGAAACATTCAAAGAAGCTGCAATTGCAAGAAGACTTTTAGAATCTGATGACGAATGGGATCATTGCTTAATTGATGGTGCAACTTTTTTGATGCCTAAGCAACTCCGTGAAATGTTTGCATACATTTGCATATTCTGCCAACCTGCCCAACCTATCAAACTTTGGCAGGATCATTTAGAGAGCCTAATTCTTGACTATTTACGTTCACAGAATGAAAAAAACTCTATCAATAGTGCCCTTCATGACATTGAGTATATATTAAAACAGCATAGTATGTCATGTGTATCTTTAGGTTTACCAATGCCACGGGGAAATGCCCCAGAAGAGGAGATGTTTGATCGCGAAATGGAAGCATGTCAAGCAGCAGATCAAATTGGAAAATTAAATGAAGCACAGTTGGCGGCATTTGTTAAAATTAAAACAGCAGTTGAAGGCAGTTCATCTTCAGAGCAATCAAAACTTTTTTATGTTGATGGTCCCGGTGGCTCAGGAAAAACATTCCTTTACAAGACATTAATGGCATATTTCAGAGGTGAGGGAAGTATCGTACTTGCATTTGCGACAACAGGAATCGCTGCTACAATACTTAAAGGAGGTCGAACTGTTCATAGTGGCTTTAAATTACCGGTACCTTTACTGGATACTTCTGTATCTTCAATGCGTATGAATTCACCTGAAGCACAAAATTTACGACAAGCTGCTTTAATTGTAATTGATGAAATTACTATGCTGCCAAAAAATGGCCTTCGCTGTATTGATAAGCTATTACGTGAAATCATGAAATGTGAAAATCCTTTTGGTGGAAAGGTTTTAGTCGTTGGAGGTGATTTTAGACAAACATTACCAGTTGTCCCTCGAGGAACTCGAACTGAAATTATAGAATGCTGCATCAAATCAAGTCCATTATGGAAACACTTTGAACAGTTGAGTTTGACAGTTAACATGAGAAGTGAAGGCCAGATGGAGTATAATCAATGGCTTTTAGATATTGGATCTGGAAAGCAAGCTAGAAACCCACAAATTTATGAAGATGACATTATTCAAATTCCTAATGACATGATAACCACAAATGACCTTATAAGTGATATATTTGGCAATATTGAGCAAATGAGTATTGAAGATCTTTCAAAAAGAGTTATTGTAGCTCCTACAAACAGTCAAACTCTTGAAATGAATAGAAAAATAATCGATTCCATACAAGGTGATTCACAAATTTATTATAGTGCTGGTTCAATGATATGTGAAGATCCCAGTGATGAACTAAATTTTCCTGTAGAATTTCTAAACGATCAAACACCATCAGGTATGCCGCCACATGTTCTTCTTCTCAAAAAAGGTGTAATTGTAATGCTCTTGAGAAACCTTAATCCAAAAAAAGGATTGTGTAACGGTACTAGACTTATAATAGAGGAAATGAGTAGAAATTTTATTAAGGCAAAAATACTATCAGAATGTAACAAAGGAGATATTGTGTTCATTCCTCGCATCGATTTAGCGCCGTCAGAAACATCACTTCCATTTATTTTACGACGAAGACAATTTCCACTAATTCCAGCATATGCAATCACTATCAACAAGTCGCAGGGACAATCTTTTGATCATGTTGGAATTCATTTAGAGACAGCTGTATTTTCGCATGGACAGTTGTACGTAGGTTTCTCTAGATCTAGAATTGCAAGTCAAGTTAAAGTCTTTATCGAAGCAAATCCACAGCAAGGTCCATTATTAAATGATGAAAGACAGTTCACTCGCAATATTGTTTATACAGAAATTCTTTAAAACGATAAATGAAAAAGAAACTAAATAAAAAAAAAAAAATCCAAAATTTGTTCCATGATCATATGATACTAGATCATTTTTTACAGATTTTAAAATTTAATGGGTAACCAACATAAAGTTCTAGGCATAAATTTTCACAAACTTCATATGACTTCACAAACTTAAAATGACTTCACCAAACTTCACTACGCCCCCCCCCCCCCCCTCCTCCCTATCCGTGAGCTTCACATACATGACTTCGCATGCTTCACATGACTTCGCATGCTTCACATGACTTCACATGACTTCACATGACTTCACATGCTTCACATGACTTCACATACTTCACATACTTCACATGCTTCACATGACTTCACATGCTTCACATGACTTCACATGCTTCACATGACTTCACATGCTTCACATGACTTCACATACTTCACATGACTTCACATGCTTCACATGACTTCACATGCTTCACATGACTTCACATGACTTCACATGACTTCACATACTTCACATGACTTCACATACTTCACATGCTTCACATGCTTCACATGCTTCACATGCTTCACATGACTTCACATGACTTCACATGACTTCACATACTTCACATGACTTCACATACTTCACATGCTTCACATGACTTCACATGCTTCACATGACTTCACATGCTTCACATGACTTCACATGCTTCACATGACTTCACATGCTTCACATGACTTCACATGCTTCACATGCTTCACATGACTTCACAAAGCATTGCTTGACTTCACAAAGCTCCGCTTTGAACAAAAAACTATAAAAGCTCAAGAATTTGAGAGAAAAATTTCATTACATATCAAGAGCTTAAAGGAACAACATCATAAAAAAAGAATTTTAAAGTAAAAAAATTGCCATTTCAAAAAATTTATTAACTTTTGGTTGGAATATTTGTGTGGTCGTTTGGTGTGACAAAATGACGTTAAAAAACTATTCTTTAATACGATCCATTGGTGAAGGTGGATTTGGCCGAGTTTATTTGGCGAATAGAATAGGAATAGAAAACAGCTTTGTGGCAATTAAAATTCAAAAGAAAGAGGCAGTCGAAAAGAGTTATTGGACAAAGCACTTTGCAGTAAATGAAATTCAAGTAAATGAACATATTATAAGTTAAAATAGGGACGTGTGTTCAATTCCTAGAAATGGGATTCTCAGATATTCTATTCTTCTTCCCCCCCCCCCCCCCTCTTCCTTAGTAATAATAATTTAAATAATTTAATTGACTTATAGATTCTCAAAATGGCCATTGGTAAGAAATTTTTGGCACAATTAAAAAGTGCATTTGTGGACTTAGAGGGCTACTATACAGTCATGGAATTAGTAGAAGCAGGAGACTTATTCCATTTTATAGCAAGACCAAATTACCGTCCAAATGAGGAATTATGGTCCTTTATATCCATAAACTTACTAATGGGATTAGAACAATTGCATGAAGTATGTATATATTTAATATTTATGACATTACATCCTTACAAATAACTTTAAATTATAAATTTACAGCTCGGTGTTATTCATAACGATTTAAAGCCACCCAATGTATTAATCCACAAAAATGGATACATCGTAATTTGCGATTTTGGACTGAGTGTGATTAGTGAACATGACAGTGGTACAAAGGGTACTCCGGGTTATATTGCACCAGGTAAATTTAAAAATTTATTTAATTTTTTCAGGAATCTAATATATTTTTAACTTTAAAAGAAAATTACACAGCATGTGCCGATTATTTCAGTCTAGGAGTGATCCTTTATGAGTTATCCGAAAAGAAACGTCCATTTAAGGACTCACGAGGCTTTTTATCATTGAAAGTTATGCCAGCAAAAAATGTAACTATTATAATTAATTCTTAATTACTTATAAGGAAAATAATATTAATTTTATTAAATCTATTCCATACATATAGATAAACGAAGATGTCTCCATATTTATTAAGAGTTTACTCGAAGTAGATCCAGCTAACGGGACATGCGACATTAAAAAAGCAAAAACTTTTAAATGCTTTAATCCATCGCATTTTCAATTGATTGAGAATCACTCCTTGAAATCACCGTTACTGTCATATGTTGCCAGACATGCAATCATACAGGACATTGAACGAGCATTTGATTTTCATCCTAAATCAACTCCAAACCACAAGGATGTTGGTATCCAATGCACCATTGATGCTCAAAATGTCAACAACAATCTAGGCAACATGGCAACAACATCTAGGCAAGAAGTGAATATTGTTGAATTAACAATGTTTGCATGTAATGATGAGAGATGTGGATGCTTGAAAACATTCAATTCAGCTAAAGCACTCCAACAGCATAACCGGGATTTGGATTCTTTGGCATTGGGAAAATATAGATGTGATTATTGTCAAAAGTGCTTTACTAGAAAAGAAAGATTGGACAATCATATTTTGTCCCATAATAACCCCCCAAAAAAAGCAAAAAAATAATTTGCTTTTTTTTGCTTTACAACTGCTCATTTACTTTTTTCCTAACTTCCTATTCACAATAACTTGAAGAATTTGAATGTGAATAACTTGAATATGAATAAAACTGAATAATAAATTGAGGTAAAAGTAATATAAAAAGTATTTACAGTTATTTGTGAAGCCATGTGAAATTTTGTGAAGCCATGTGAATCTTTGTGAAGCCAATAATTTGGGGGGTGTTGACAAGGTGGGTGTCAGGGGGAAGTTTTGTGAAGCCATGTGAAGTTTTTTACTATAAATATCGAGTCATTAAATATTTCAATTTTTTGACAATTTTCAATTCCAATTATGTTTTTCGTTAACATGAGTGATTTAGACAATGATTGTAAAAAGGAACTATACGGTTTTGTAAATTGACAATATACTTTTTTTTAGAAATGAAGGGCTTCTGATTTTAAAAACTTATTATACGTTTTGCATGGAGGGTTTGATCATTATTACCATGAAAAAAGCTTCATGAAAAAAGAGTTGAAATATAAAGTTCTGATCTATAGATAGTCTCATGTTCTTAGGTTAAATGAAACGGGCCCGTAACGGGCCCTAATACACTAGTTATAAATGATAAAGAATGCTATATAGATATAAAATCGATACAATTTTTTTAACAATAGCCTACTATGATCAAAACCAAAAATGCTTTAAATTGCTTTTTTAAACACATTTAGGTATTATAAATGATGAAGAATGCTAATATAGATATAAAATCGATATAATTTTTTTAAAAATAGCCTACTATGATCAAAACCCAAAAATGCTTTTAATTGCATTTTAAAACATATCTAGGTATTATAAATATGCTTTCCCGATGACGAAATCGAGACCGAGACTTCCCGGGAAGTCTCGGTCTCGATCTCGTCTCGGTCTCGAGAATTTTCCGAGACCGAGACCCGAGACTAGAGAAGAAAAAAATTTAAGTAAAAATGATAATTTTAGAATTTTTCCCATCACAGTTTGTAGTTAATCTTACAGTTAGGGTAAATGACCTTGAAATTTGCGCATTTTCACACATGAAAATCCCTCATTTTTACCATCGGACAAACATTTCAATGTTTCAACAAAAAGCGAAATTCATAAATTTTGTATAGCGTTACTTCAACAGCATTTTTCGGAAATTTCAACAAATAATGAACCAGTTCAGTCAACTTCCAACTCTCAAGTTACTCAATTACAACAAAATTCTCTTCGAGATCGTTTGAAGTTAAGCTTGATGCAATTTACATCAAATGAGCCTAGTACTCGAAACATTAATGAAAACTTAAAACGCGAGTTTTCATGGTATGAGAGAAATAAAGTCAAAACTCCGTTATTAAATCAGCTGTATAATGCACTGCTAAGCATTCAACCAACATCTACCCAGAGTGAACGTAATTTTTCAATCAGCAATAATGTTTTGACCAAGCAAAGGAAGCGATTGCTTAACAAAAACTTAAATGCTATCGTTTTTGTGAAAAGTCAATTCCAAAACCCAGAATAGTTTTAATAGGGACACACTTTCTTATCATTATGCTTTTCTTTTATCATTACGTATTTCGTATTTTTTTTATATTTTATATTAGTATTAAGACAATAAAATTAGTTTGACTGATCGCATAACAAGGAATATATCCAGAAGTTCAATAACAAATAGACGTAATCTACATGTTCTAAGTGTTTTTTAATTACTTTCAGCGAAATTTTAAGTAGTTTTTAAAGTCGAGACTTCCCGGGAATTCCCGGGAAGTCTCGGTCTCGGTCTCGGTCTCGAGAATTTGTCGAGACCGAGAAATCGAGAAAGCTTAATTATAAATGATAAAGAATGCTAATATAGATATAAATTCGATATAATTTTTTTAAAAATAGCCTACTATGATCAAAACCACAAATGCTTTAAATTGCATTTTAAAACATATCTAGGTATTATAAATGATAAAGAATGCTAATATAGATATAATATCGATATTTTTTTGAAAAAAGCCTAATATGATCGAAACCAAAAATGCTTTAAATTGCATTTTAAAGCATATCTAGGTATTATAAATGATAAAGAATGCTAATATAGATATTTTTTTTTGAAAATAGCCTACTATGATTGAAACCAAAAATGCTTTAAATTGCATTTTAAAACACATCTAGGAATTATAAATGATAAAGAATGCTAATATAGATATAAAATCGATATTTTTCTTGAAAATAGCCTACTATGATCGAAACCAAAAATGCTTTCAATTGCATTTTAAAACGTATATAGGTATTATAAATGATAAAGAATGCTAATATAGATATAAAATCGATATAATTTATTTAAAAATAGCCTACTATGATAAAAACCCAAAAATGCTTTGAATTGCATTTTAAAACATATCTAGGTATTATAAATGATAAAGAATGCTAATATAGATATAAAATCGATACAAATTTTTTTTAAAAATAGCCTACTTTGATCAAAACTCAAAAATGCTTTGAATTGCATTTTAAAACATATCTAGGTATTATAAATGATAAAGAATGCTATATAGATATAAAATCGATACAATTTTTTTAACAATAGCCTACTATGATCAAAACCAAAAATGCTTTAAATTGCTTTTTTAAACACATTTAGGTATTATAAATGATAAAGAATGCTAATATAGATATAAAATCGATATAATTTTTTTAAAAATAGCCTACTATGATCAAAACCCAAAAATGCTTTTAATTGCATTTTAAAACATATCTAGGTATTATAAATGATAAAGAATGCTAATATAGATATAAATTCGATATAATTTTTTTAAAAATAGCCTACTATGATCAAAACCACAAATGCTTTAAATTGCATTTTAAAACATATCTAGGTATTATAAATGATAAAGAATGCTAATATAGATATAAAATCGATTTTTTTTTTTTGAAAATAGCCTACCATGATTAAAACCAAAAATGCTTTAAATTGCATTTTAAAATATAAATAGGTATTATAAATAATGAAGAATGCTAATATAGACATAAAATCGATATTTTTTTTTTGAAAATAGCCTACTATGATCGAAACCAAAAATGCTTGAAATTGCATTTTAAAACATATCTAGGTATTATAAATGATAAAGAATGCTAAAATAGATATAAAATCGATATAATTTTTTTAAAAATAGCCTACTATGATTGAAACCAAAAATACTTTGAATTGCATTTTAAAACATATCTAGGTATTTTAAATGATAAAGAATGCTAATAAAGATATAAGATCGATATAATTTTTTTAAAAATAGCCTACTATGATCAAAACCAAAAATGCTTTAAATTGCATTTTTAAACACATCTAGTTTTTATAAATGATAAAGAATGCTAATATAGATATAAAATCGATAAATTTTTTTTAAAAATAGCCTCCTATGATCAATACCAAAAATGCTTTAAATTGCATTTTTAAACACATCTAGGTATTATAAATGATAAAGAATGCTAATATAGATATAAAATCGATATAATTTTTTTAAAAATAGCCTACTATGATCAAAACCCAAAAATGCTTTGAATTGCATTTTAAAACATATCTAGGTATTATAAATGATAAAGAATGCTATAAAGATATAAAATCGATATAATTTTTTTAAAAAAAGCCTACTGTGATCAAAACCAAAAATGCTTTAAATTGCATTTTTAAACACATCTAGGTATTATAAATGATAAAGAATGCTAATATAGATATAAAATCGATATAATTTTTTAAAAATAGCCTACTATGATTGAAACCAAAAATGCTTTGAATTGCATTTTAAAACATATCTAGGTATTATAAATGCTAAAGAATGCTAATATAGATATAAAATCGATATCATTTTTTTGAAAATAGCCTACTATGATCAAAACCCAAAAATGCTTTGAATTGCATTTTAAAACATATCTAGGTATTATAAATGATAAAGAATGCTATAAAGATATAAAATCGATATTTTTTTGAATATAGCTTACTATGATCGAAATCAAAAATGCTTTAAATTGCATTTTAAAACACATCTAGGTATTATAAATGATAAAGAATGCTTATATAGATATAAAATCGATATAATTTTTTTAAAAAAAAACCTACTATGATCAAAACCCAAAAATGTTTTGAATTGCATTTTAAAACATATCTAGGTATTATAAATGATAAAGAATGCTATAAAGATATAAAATCGATATAATTTTTTTAAAAAAAGCCTACTATGATCAAAACCAAAAATGCTTTAAATTGCATTTTTAAACACATCTAGGTATTATAAATGATAAAAAATGCTAATATAGATATAAAATCGATATAATTTTTTTAAAAATAGCCTACTATGATTGAAACCAAAAATGCTTTCAATTGCATTTTAAAACATATCTAGGTATTATAAATGATAAAGAATGCTAATATAGATATGAAATCGATCGGCATTTTAAAACATATCTAGGTATTATAAATGATAAAGAATGCTAATAAAGAAATAAAATCGATATTTTTTTGAAAATAGCCAACTATGATCGAAACCAAAAATGCTTTAAATTGCATTTTAAAACAAATCTAGGTATTATAAATAATAAAGAATGCTAATAAAGATATAAAATCGATATAATTTTTTAAAAATAGCCTACTATGATTGAAACCAAAAATGCTTTGAATTGCATTTTAAAACATATCTAGGTATTATAAATGCTAAAGAATGCTAATATAGATATAAAATCGATATAATTTTTTTGAAAATAGCCTACTATGATCAAAACCCAAAAATGCTTTGAATTGCATTTTAAAACATATCTAGGTATTATAAATGATAAAGAATGCTAATATAGATATAAAATCGATATAATTTTTTTGAAAATAGCCTACTATGATCAAAACCCAAAAATGCTTTGAATTGCATTTTAAAACATATCTAGGTATTATAAATGATAAAGAATGCTAATATAGATATAAAATCGATATAATTTTTTTGAAAATAGCCTACTATGATCAAAACCCAAAAATGCTTTGA